GGGGCCGGGCGGCAGGGGGGGAAGCAGACAATGGCCCCTCAGCCCACAGCCCGGGGGCCGAGCCGTCCACTGGGAGCCACATTTGACCCCCGGGGCAAAGCAATGGAGCCGTGTCCTCAGCCCTGCTGCGGGCAGGGGCGCGACGCTCACCGGGCCAGCAGGCAGACCCCTTTGTGGTGTGTGTCGGAGCTGGCGAGCATGTCCCAGCCGCCCTGCTTCTGGATGAAGGTGACCTGGTCCCCGTAGCCGGCGCAGCGGAGCAAGGCCCTCATGGCCTTCACCACGCACCTGTGTGCAGAGCGAGTCAGGTTACCGTGCGAGCCAGGCCAGGCCGTGCTGCAGGCCGTGGGTGGTCTGGAGGCAGGCACCAGGCTGATGTACCTGACTGGGCTGAGGGGCGTGGGCGTGTTCTCCTGCCTGCACACCCTCCAATAGAAAGCGATGTCCTGCACCGACGGCTCCACCGTGTAGGTGATCTGGAAGAGCAGGGCGATGTAGAGCTGAGGGTAGAGCTCCTGCACCTCCCGCCTGCAGCCCGGCTCCTGGAAGATCTCGTACAGGGCTCTGGTGGCCTGCAGCAAGAACAGGAGACAGATCTCACCACAGGGCCCCATCCTCCCCATGCTCCCCCAGGCACCTGGAGAGGAGTGGTGGTCTGGGGACTAAGGCCTGGGATACTGGCTTCAGTTCCTAGCCTGACACCTTGGCTAGAACCACAGAAGGGCCTGTCAGTCTGCCATCGATCCCGGGCCAGATAAGGGAGCAGCTGGTCCAAGACTCATTTCATAAAGAACTAACGAGGCTAACATAATTAATGCAAATCAATATGGGTCCATCTCCTGACGCACCAACTGGCATCTGCTTTTTGATGAGATTATGAAATTGCTCGCTAGAGGTAACAGTACTGATGCTGTAGAACATGGACCTCTGCAAGGCGACACCCACCTGTGACGAGCCCCCCCCCCCCTTCCCCATGCTTTATGAACTCAGAGATGCTTTGAACAAAACACCTCATGTAACCGATCAATGCTGGTGCCAAAGAGCCTATTTTGGTGCATTCTTTTGTATGAAAAATTAGAAATATGAATAACGAGGCGGTTTATAGATTTAAATGTGCTAATGAGACCGATTTCCGGTGCCCAGCTTGGAAGTCTTAATGACTTGGTGAGCAACTTAATGACTTGTAAATAGCCTTTTTTTGTCCTGTAAGTCCAAAAGTGATTGGACTAGTAAGACATGTCTAGTACCACCTGGTACCGGGATTCCCCTTTGACCCTGGCTTTTTCCACGAAAGGGGGGGATGTAGAACAAAATGTTTCTGCCCTGGGAAAAGTCAGTTTAAGCAATGGGAAGCTATCAGCCCGTTGTCTTCCACTGGCCTGGTAAACCCTGAAAGGCTACAAAGGGCTGGAGATCAAGTCAGGATAAAAGACTCTTGTCTGTGACCTTAAGATTATTTTTGAAATAGGAACAGCTCTTTATGGCAAGAATCTGTCTGAAATAAGTTTTTCACTGATCTACAACTACCTACATAAGAACATAAGAACGGCCGTACTGGGTCAGACCAAAGGTCCTTCTAGCCCAGTATCCTGTCTGCTGACAGTGGCCAGCACCAGGTGCCCCAGAGAGGGTGGACCGAAGACAATGATCAAGCGATTTGTCTCCTGCCATCTGAGGGGGAAATCTCACTCCCCTGGGGTACAGAGCCCCCAGAAGGGTCCGAGGCCGGAGGTCAAATCAGTGAGGCAGGAGAGAAACCTAGAAGAGAAAACTTTATGATGCATGCATGCAGGCTGTCACTTCCAAGAGTGAAGCAGCAGCCCTGACAGACAGATTCAGGTATCCTATATACAGAATGCTTAGACAGTTCAGTTGTGGATTGTTCTTCTTTAACATATCAAAGTCTCAGCAGAAGTACTCTGAGACTTCTGTTCACCCCAGGAGTGCTAGAAGTAAGTTTTTACAGTACACAAAGCCACATGAGAACTTGAGTGGAGGCCTCTTTTCTAAACTGAAAAGTCCCAGTCTCTTTAGCCTCTCCTCATATGGGACCCGTTCCAAACCCCTAATCATTTTAGTTGCCCTTTTCTGAACCCTTTCCAAGGCCAAAATATCTTTTTTGAGGTGAGGAGACCACATCTGTACACAGTATTCAAGATGTGGGCGTACCATAGTTTTATACAGGGGCAGTAAGATATTCTGGGTCTTATTTTCTATCCCTTTCTTAATAATTCCTAGCATCCTATTTGCCTTTTTGACCGCCGCTGCACTCTGTGTGGAAGTTTTCAGAGAACTGTCCATGATAACTCCAAGATCTCTTTCCTGATTTGTTGTAGCCAAATTAGCCCCCATCATACTGTACGTATAGTTGGGGTTATTTTTCCCGATGTGCATTACTTTACACTTATCCACATTAAATTTCATTTGCCATTTTGTTGCCCAATCACTCAGTTTGGTGAGATCTTCTTGGAGTCCCTCACAGTCTGCTTCTGTCTTGACTATCCTAAACAGTTTGGTATCATCTGCAAACTTTACCACCTCACTGCTTACCCCTTTCTCCAGATCATTTATGAATAATACCTATATGTTTTCTTTTCATTGTAATTTAGTAACTTACTTAGATCTGTCCATTTTCATTTGAAACCACTTCAGTCCTACTATTTGTACTTAATAAAAACCCTTTGTTTACTATCAAGCTCAGTGTAAATAGCTTCTAGCTGGAGGAATGACCAGTGTGAATATCTCTCTTTCATTGAGAAAGAGGGTGAACGTCCTCATGAGCTTTTCTTCTGTAAAATGTTTATACAAAGACAGATTGATTTGGGGTTTTGATCACTTTTCAGGGTTGGTTTCCTGAGTTATGTACCCTAGAACTGCATCCTCCCAGAGCTGAAGTGGTTCAGTGCCTGCATTGCTCTTCCGGCGGGTGGGGGGAGGATGGTAACCACAACTTTGGGCCTTGTCTGGGGGAGACCAGAGGGTCTGGCCCAGCAGCACAGGGTGGCAGGGAGCTCCAGAGACCAGGAAGGCAGGTATTAGTGATCAGCAAACTGGGGAACAATCCCAAGAGGTCTTCTCTGACCACACCACCATTTAGATGGAAACCCTAGAATGAAACAGAAGTAATGTGGCACCCAAGAATTAGCTTATAAACTGTCTGATGGGTCTCAAACTGTAATTGTAAACTGGGACTCAGCATTGCAGTCCCTGCAAGGGACTGGGTCTTGGCCCTACGCAATTTTACATTTTTATCAAGGGCCTGGCAGAAAACATAAAATCATCACTGATACAGTTTGCAGCTGACACCCAAACGAACGAAGAGGTTGGGTCCGATTCAGAGTGATCTGAAAAGTGTGGGACAGGCCCATGGTGTGCGTGTTTTAATACCGGCTCATTGTAAATGTATCTGGCTAGGAACAAAACCTGCAGGCCATGCTTACAGGGCGTGGGGCTCTACCTTGGGAAGCAGGGACTTTGAGAAGGACTTGGGAGTCGTGGGGACAATCAGCTGACCAGGAACTCCCAGTGTGGCGCTGTGGCCAAAAGGGGGAACGCCACCCGGGGAGCAGTAAACGGGAAATGCTCGAGGTGGGACAGAGAGGTTATTTCCCCTGTATCTGGCAGGGGTGTGACCACTGCTGGGCCTTGTGTCCAGGCCCACTACTCAAGAGGAATGTGGATGTACCTGGGAGAGGGTTCCCAACCCTGTTTGATTAGAAACCCTGCCTCATGGCAATCGACTCCGGAAACTCAAGCTAGTCCTCTGGACAAAGACAGGCAAGGGGGCCGTGAGGACAGTCAGTGGACAGCTACAGGGGAAGAAACATTTAATAACGGGCTCTTTGGTCTACCAGGAAAGGACGAGCCTGACCCGGGGGCTGGAAGTCGAAGGTAGACACATCAGACGGGAAATAAGGCGGACGGATAACGGGGAGAGTCATCAATGAATCAATGGGGGGGATTCTCCGTGTCTGACCGTTTCTGAAGCAGGATGGGATGGTCCCCCTCTAAGCTCTGCTCTGGGGACAGATCTCTGGCCTGTGTCACACCAGAGAGACTAGATGATCACAGAGATGCCTCCGTGCCGTGAAATCCATGAACCTAACAGTGGGGAGTCACCTACACCAGCCAATAGGGCAACGCCGAGGAGAGAGGGGGTGTGGTAACCCCCTCCCCCGGCCAGAAAGGAGGTCAGTGTCTATTTCTACTTGGGAGCACACACTCATAATTACAGCAGGGATTAGCCCCTGGGTTTCCCAGCTGGGCGCCCTCCCCACCCACGGGTGTGGCCCAAAATCTGAACATCCTGGAATGCCACAAAACACTGATTTTCTTCAACAAGAGTTAGAGCCCCGCGACTAAGCATTTTATACCCAGCGGCACTGTTTCAACAGGAGAGATTGGGAGACCCAGTGGGGCGGGGAATAAACCCAGTTCTCCCCGTCCCAGGGGAGTGCTCTCGCTCTGGGCTGCTGGGTTTCAGGGGGGCCTCCCTCTCCTGTGTCCGATCCAGTGGGCGTGTTCCCCAAGCAGGCCTACAGGACTGGGCTACGCCAGGGCAAAGCCGAGTCGGAGGATGGTGCCGGGGCTGTCGCTTGGCAAGTGTAACCTCCGCCCGGTGGGTCCCCTCGCAGGTCTGTGTGGCGTGCCCAGCCCAAGGGGGCAGTGAGCCCAGCTGAGGGGGCCGGGAGGAGGCATCCCCGGAGTGAGGTTCCTGGCTGGTTAAGGGGAAGGCTGGTCCCCAAGAGACTCGGCTCCACCCCAGAGCAGGGTGCCTGTGGGAAGGACCTTGAGGACAGGCTGGGGCAGCAGACAGGGGAGCCTGGGACATGGGGGGCACTGCCCCTTCCCACCCCAGCAAGGAGGGGGTGGCCCCTGCCAGGCCATTAGGGGGACCCACGGCGCGCCTTCCCTTGCTGCAGGGGCTGGTTCTTACGGCCAGGGGGGTGACGGCAGCCATTTTCTGAGCGGTGTCGCGACGCTGGCCCAGCGGCCCCTCCTGCAGCCTTTTGAGCAGCTCCCGCAGGATCCTTCCTGTGGTCTTGGGGTGGGACGTCAGGGTCCGCCACATCTCCACGGCTGCCCTGCAAAGGGGGAGGCGACGGCAGCTGGGTCCTGCAGCCCCTGGGGCTGGCACGCCTGCTGGGTCCCCACAAGCCGCCCTCCCGCTCCAGCAAGGGGGCTGCATCCGCCCCAGGGGAAGCCATTCAGGGAGGGCTCCTGTCTCTGGGGCCGGTGGGCCCGTAAAACCCTCAGGGAGAAGCATCAGCTCGCGGGGCGGGGGAGGGGGCAGGTGATCCCGGGAGGCTCCGCTTTCCCCATACCTGTCGCACCACAGCGAGCAGCCCAGCAGGGCCGTCACCACCTCCTCGCTGTACTGGTAGCCCAGCAAGAGCAGGGACCTCAGCAGCTCCTGCTGGGCCAGCGTCTCGCTGATGGAGTCCAGGTTGTGGTACATGCTTCTCACGGCCTCCGACACCTGGGAGAGAAAGGGGGAAACAGGGGCTTGGCTTCCTCACGCCCTCTGGGCTGCCAGGGACCTGCCGCACCCCAGAGTCCCGCCCCACCAGCCCAGCCCACAGCCCTGGGCCAGCGCCCATGTCCAAGGCCACAAGGGACCTTGGCGATCACCTCGCCTGACCCTGCACAGCACAGGCCAGAGACCTGCTCCCATGACGCCTCGCGCCCAGAGCCACTCACAGAGGGGCTCAGCTCTCACCCTCTCCAAGCTTGGGATGGGGACTCCCAGGATCGCGTGCAGCATGTGCCTGGCCTCCACTGCGTCGTGGACGCTGTCGTCTCTCATGCCGTCGATGGCCGCCAGGATGAAGCCCGTGCGCTCGGCCGGGTGCAGGTACTTCCCAAACATCTGGAACAAACCTGCCACTGAAACCCCTTTTCCCGCCCGGTGCTGTCCCCGGGGGGCCAAGCAGCCAGGACCGGCCCGGCCAGGAGCGCAGGCAGATCCCGCTCTGCCGGGACAGGACTGGGTTCTTGCACCTCGTCGGCAATCCGGAGCTGTCGTGCATCGCCACGCCGGGGTGCAAACTGCACGGATACACGCGCTAGTGCTCAGCAGCACTGCTGACGATGCAACGAGGGTTTTATTGCGTCTCCCTCCAGGCCTGACAAGGTTCGGATGAGCCCCAGTGCATCTTGGGCACGTAGGTGGGTGAGTCACACAGCTGGGTCTGTCCCTCCCCACAGACTCAGGGGATGTTAATTCCTCCCCCTGCTAACTCTGGGCACAACACTCCCATGAAGCACGAATGGTAGTTACCACGGCTATATCGCTGGCGTTGGTGAACCAGGCGAACCAGAAGGTGTTCTCGGCTTGCCAGTCTCTGAGGACTTGCAGATACTCTGTGCTGTCCTTTGCCAGGGTCCTGCCTGAACCAGGGAGGGGAAACAGACAGCAGGCCATAGAGCTCACAGATAGCCAGGGGCAAACAGGGGTTTGGTTTCGGGGAAGGAGAACATCAAACTGGAGCAGAGGGAGATCACCCTGAAGTCATGATACCTCACTGGACGGGAGAGCCCCAGTTACCAGCCCGTTTTCACAATGGAGAGAGGTAAATAGCAGGGTCGTGATGGGACCAGTGCAGTTCAACATAGTCCATCTGGGAGCAGGGGGAGCAGGGAGGTGGTAAAATGCACAGATGATCCAACATTACTCCAGAGAGGTGAGTCCCAAGCAGACAGCGGAGCGCTGCAAAAGGCTCTCCCCAAACTGCGCAACAAACCGGCCGGTGGAATTCAATGCTGATAAATGCAAAGTAATGCAGATTGGCAAACATGGCCCCAGCTGTACATCCGAAACGATGGGGTTTAAATTGCCACCTACAGAAGAGACCTTGGAGTCACCGTAAATAGTTCTCTGGAACCAGCCACGCAACGTGCAGCAGCAGTTAAACAAACACACACAATGCAGGGAACCATGGAGAAAGGGCGAGGTGGCAGGGAAAATACCACAATGCCACTATGTCACACCTTGGGACACCCACAGCTGGAGTCCTGCGGGCAGGTCTGGGCACCTCATCATGGAACAGAAACCAGCATTGTAAAGAGTGCCAAGAAGAGCAGCAGACATCAGGGGTAGGGAACAGCTTCCATGGGAGGAGAGATTAAAAGTATGGGGAGCTACATTACACTTAACACACTGCATTGCCGTCACTGTGACTATGTCCCCGTGCAGCAGGAGTGGTTGGTGGGAGATTGCACAGCACATTCACACAAGGAGCGCGGCTGGTTCAAACATTGCTCAGGGCGGTGGATTTTTCACACCCCCAGCAAGGTAGATATAACAATACAGGTCTGCAGTACAGACCACATCTGGGCCTGTTTCGTGTAGAAAACAGGAGACTAAGGAGGGTGGGAGGAGGGTATAATAGAGGGCTGTACACTCTTGACTGGTGTGGAGAAATGGACCAGCGAAGCATTCTTCACCCCGCCATAACACAAGAACTAAGGGTCACCCTGGGCAGGCGGTTGCAAACAGACCAAAGGAGGCATCTCTTCACACAACACACAGGAACCTGTGGAAATCATTGCTGTGAGATGTCGTGGAGGCCAAAAATATAATTGGGTTCAAAAAAGAGTTTGAAAAGTTTGTGAAAGTTGGAGCCATCTGTTAGCCAAGCCGATCAGGGCACGCAACCCCATACTCTGTGTGCCCCTAAACGTCCAGATGCTGGGACTGGCCAACAGGGAAGGGATCACTCCGAATTTCCCGGTCTGTTCATTCCCTCTTAACCATCTGGCCCGGCTGCTCTTGGAAGACACAGTCCTGGGCTAGAAGAACCATTGCTCTCACTCACTATGTCCAACGTTATGTAAGGTATGAAGAGTAGAACACGGATAGGGGATGCTAAAGACATGGGGGAAGTGCAGAGCTTGGATAATGAGGACGTTTTTTAGTTTCTAAGGCCCAAAAGAACCCCTAGCGACGGTGCAGGCTCAGTCCGAGATGGGATGGGGAATGGTGCAGTGTTTGCAAGGATGCAGCAAAGGCAGGTGAGCTCAGTAACTAGCTGCTCTGGCTTTGGGATGCCCATGTCAGGGCAGTGAGGGCAGAGCAGGGTCTCTAGGGCTCTTACACTTTTGCCGCAGCATGAAGGAGTAGAGGTGGTGAAGTCCATCCACGGCCCAGCGGCAGATCTCCTGCTCGTGCTCCGCACAGCACAGGGTGAGACAGCCCACCAGCTGGCCCGGCACTCTGAACCCCTCCACGCCCTGACGGAGAGAGAGCAAAGGGAGTCACCCGCCCCTGCAGGCCCAGTGCTACGACTCCCCTGGGTCTGCACCGGCAATGGGGAGGCAGAGCACAGTGCAGTGACCAAGACAGCAGGAGGAGCCGGGGCGTGGGGGGGCATTGCTAGGGGCATGAAATCTGGGCAGCAAAGTCAGCAAACGTTGCCCCAAGTGTGGGGCCTCCTTCTCCAAGACAAACTCGTAATCCCGGCCTCTTTCGCCAGCTCGCACCTTCAGGGACCCCAGGCCAGGAGCAGCCCTCCTCCAGCTGCAGCCTTGTCCTCTTGCCCAAATGCTGCTGCCAGAGACCTTCCCTGGGCCTCCCGCAGGCCCTGAGCTGGCTCCCTGCCCTTCCCCACTTCACACCAACCCCCTGCCCCATAATGCTCCTGCTCCTTTGGCCCCTCCCATCCCTCTCACTTCGTCCCCTCCCCCTTCAGTTCTGCTGCCTAAGGGTGGCCCCTTCCAGATCCTGCCATGGGAGGATGGAGCAGCTAAATGGCCGAGAATGCCCAGAAGGGGGTGGGGAGAAATTCATTTTGCAGCCCTGGAGGTGCCAAACCAAAGGACTGTGTCTAGACTGGCCAGTTTTCCGTTAAAAGCATTTCCGGAAAATCATGCCAGTCTAGACCTAGCCAAGCAGTCCCATGATGACTGGCAAAGAGTTGAACCAGGCAGCTGCCCCCGGACACCGGGGCTCAGACGGTGCTCGTGGGGCGATCCTGTGTAAATGCACCCAGCCTTCAGAGCAGACCGCGGTCCTAAGGGGACAGAATTAGGAGCGCAAAGCCCACTGGAGTGCGGATAGACCCAGTGACATCAGTGCCCACTGCACCGCGAGGCTGCTCAGTGCAGTTCAGAGGCAACTCAGGGCCCAGGCTGCCCACCTTGAATTTGTGATGCCCAGCGATGAGTCTGATCAGCCAGGCGATCCTTTCCACTGCCCTCAGCCGCTCATGCACCTCATTGGATGTGGTCCAGGGGAGCAGGAACTGGGAGAGTGAGAGAAACGAACTGGGACAAGGCGGCATGCAAAAAATTGCACAAGCACGTCGGGAGAAACTCAGAAAGGCTAAGGCAAAACTGAATGACGACTAGCAAGGGACATGAAAGCCAATCAGCGGTGGATCTATAAATGCATTAGGAGCAAGAGAAAGACAAAGGAAAGTGTCAGACTACTACTTAGCAAAGAAGAAGAGCAAATAACTGAGGAAACAGACGAAGTCCAGCTATTTCATGCCTTTTTTTGCTAGCGGGGTTAAAGGGTTAATGCTCACCGCAACATTAACAATAAGGGGGGAGGAACACAGGCCAGACTAGGGAGAGAAAAGGTGAAAGATGATTTGGATAAGTTAGGTGTATTCAAGTCAGCAGAGCCTCAGGGGCTGTGTCTAGACTGGCAAGTTTTTCTGCAAAAGCAGCTGCTTTTGCGGAAAAACTTGCCAGCTGTCTACACTGGCCGCTTGAATTTCCACAAGAACACTGACTTCCTACTGTCTGAAATCAGTGCTTCTTGCGGAAATACTATGCTGCTCCCGGTCGGGCAAAAGTCCTTTTGTGCAAAAGGGCCAGTGTAGACAGCTCAGATTTGTTTTGCGCAAAAAAGCCCTGATCGCGAAAATGGCGATTGGGGCTTTTTTGCAGAAAAGCGCGTCTAGATTTGCACGGACGCTTTTCCACAAAAAGTGCTTTTGCGGAAAAGCATCCTGCCAATCTAGATGCTCTGTTCCGAAAATGCTTTTAATGGAAAACTTTTCTGTTAAAAGCATTTCCGGAAAATCATGCCAGTCTAGACACAGCCTTAGGTCCAAGAGGACTGGAGAAAAGCAGACGCAGAACCTCTCTTTGAACAGGGAACAAAGAGACCCTGAGGAATTCTAGGTAGTCGGCCCAACTCGGGTATCCAGAGAGAAACGGAAGAAAGGATTAAAGATGCCATGTCAGAGCCTGGAGGAGCTATTCGGGTTAGGAGGACTAGCCTGCATGGATTGGTCCTGAACAAACCATGTCAAAACAGTCTAGGTTCCTCCGTGGACAGGGTATGTGAAATTGAGCAAGGCTTCTGACACAGCCCCCCAAAACATCTGCCCCAGCAAACTGAGGTCTAGCTGAGAGACTAGAAGGAGGGTGCACAGCTGAGTGAAAGCCCCGACTCAAAGAGCAGTGACAAGGGTCTCGTGGCACACTGAGGGGATGTCTCGGGGTGGTCCCTCGGGAGGTGCCTGGGCCCGGTACTAGTTTCACTACCAGCTCAGTTAGCGCCTGCTTGTAAAATCGGCGGAGGACACCTCGCTGGGCGGGGCTGCCAGCAAGGCTGAGGACAGATTGGAAATCATAATGAGCTTGTTGAACTGGAGACTTGGCCAACAAGACGCAATCCAGTACACACACATGGGACAAGCTGCACTTAGGAAGGAAAACTCAAATGTCCTCAGACAAAGTGGGGCTCGCGGGGCAGGAGGCAGGACTGCAGGAAGCGGGGGGCTAACCCGGGTCACATGCTGACTGGGAACGAACAGCGCCATGCTGCTGGGAGAAAAGGAAATGTCATTCTAAGGTGCACTAGCACAGAGCACCATGTCTGGAGTATTGGACATTAGGAAAAAACTTCTTTAACTGTCCTTAGTTTTTTCCTAATGTCCAACCTAAACCTCCCTTGCTGCAGTTTAAGCCCATTGCTTAAGTCCTATCCTCAGAGGCCAAGGAGAAAATTTTTTCTTCCTCCTCTTTGTGACACCCTTTTAGATACTTTAAAACGGCTCTCATGTCCCCCGTCAATCTTCTCCTTTCCAAACTAAACAAGGTCAGTTCTTTCGGCCTTCCCTCATAGCTCATATTCTCCAGACCTTTCATCATTCTTGTTGCTCTTCTCTGGACCCTCTCCAATTTCTCCACATCTTCCTTGAAATGTGGTGCCCAGAACCGGACACAAGAGGGCTGTGTCTAGACTGGCCAGTTTTCCAGAAAATCAGCCAGTTTTCCAGAAAAACTTGCCAGCTGTCTACATTGGCCACTTGAATTTCCGCAAAAGCCCTGACTTCCTACTGTAAGAAATCAGTGCTTCTTGTGGAAATACTGTGACGGCGCGTTGGGGTCCCCCGTCTCCTGCACCCCGAAATGGCGCAAACAGACTGCACCAGCCAGTGGAATTGAGGGTGGTTTATTGCTCCTCCAGCACAGCGCAGCACAGATGTAATCTGGTCACAGGAACTGGGCTAGGATGCCTCAGGCCCCCTTGAGATGGGGGAGACTGGGCCCCTAAACTCCAGCTCCTCTCCCTAGGCTGTCTCATCCATGCCCTCACAGTCTAACT